ATCCATTAGTTAATGTCAATTTGAATTGCATGTCTACTAGTTCTCAAATTGCACTCCTTTTTTCAGTTGCTCAACATTATTCTTAAGTTTCTTGCAGGAATTTGGTTTGTAGAACAATGTTGAAGACATATCACAAATTATTTACTGCTCAAGGAGATAAAATTTCACGTTACTTGTATACACAAGTGAGGGGTGTCCATGGTGGAGAGGTATACCCAAATTTTGTTTGTGCTCAGTACTTAAGATCTTTGTTGATGATATTGAACAAACTGTTAATGCAATATGGATCATGGTTCTTTAATTGGATTATCCAATGTCAATAATTTTGTTGTTTCTGCTAATCTCTATTTGTAAACTGGATCTGACTTGCGTTTGTGGGAAATAAGTTGCTAAATAATGTTAATTTGAACTGCATTTCTACTTGTTCTCAAATAAATTCTCACTTCCTGGGAAACATTTCTGAACAAGGTAAAAATGTTGTTCCTTTACTTGATCTGTCGCTCCCAACTGTCTTGGAATCAAGAAAAAAGTTGGTGGGGAGACGAGCCCAGCATGCCAAGGAACTTGTGTCAATTGGCAATGATTAGCTTAATGATAATTTATATATAGCTGTCCAATTGCATAATATAGGTCTAATTGTATACAGTTGAGTATCCTTATGTTCTGAAATTAGTTAACCCAGGTAATGGTGAAGTTGCATTAGGCTCCTGATGAGGCTGAGAAAGTTTTAGAGATGCTAACAACTTAAAGCAGGCAGAGTAGGTACAAGTAAAAGGTAGGTTTCATGAACTGTCACATGGCTTAAAAATATCAGTTAAATGCAAAATAAGTGTCTGGGAAAACTGAAAGGGAAGCCTTATTATTGCTACTTCCTTTGAAGTATTATGGTTGAATAACATCCTTGATCAGGCTGATATTAACCAATTAGCATCTTCAATGCTGCTTAAATCTGCAAGTCTATATTGAAGTCCTTGAATGCTTGTGTTATTAATGGTATTCTGTTGATCCTGATTCTGCTAGCTGGAGAGCTTGGAGAGCATGGAGGATTTACTGAATCTATTTATAAATCATCTTTGGAGAATTCCTGCCAAAGCTCCTTCCCTAGTTTGGTTTGCCCAACCTTAGGCTTTATTAAATTCAATTGTGATGGATGCTTGAACCCTTAAACGTAGTGTGGTGCCTATGTTGTCTTGGCCACTGTAACAGAGGATGGGTATGGAGTATCGGTTTTGGTAGAGTCAGGTAGTTTTTGCTTTGGTATCCAAGGCATGGGTCTTAAATATTGTATGATGAAAGCTTTTTGTTCAGGCATGATTCTAAGCAAGTATTAGGTATACAATTTGTCTGCAACACTGACCTGTGAAATTGGCTCTATTTTGTCTTGAGGAAAGGATAAGATTTGATCTTTTGTTTGGCATCCTGGACTTGTTATTTTCAGTGCTCATTGGGTGGCTGGGAAGCTCTGCAATATTGTTTGTCTCCTAGACTTCCAGCTTCATCCATTTCCCACTTCCTCTGGAGCTTTATTTAGGATTAATTCCCCAGTAATACATAGAAGAAAGATTCATCTACTTTTCAAAAACAATAAAATAAAATAAAAAAGGTAAGGAAGGGGAGCCATATGGAAGGATGACTTCTAAGGCAACATAAGTTGAGATGCTTGGCGGATTTGGTATGACTCTCCTGCTTATGTTACCATGTAGGCTTTGTCTGATAGTGAGAAATTGAGCTTGGGGAAAATGGGTTTGGAGAAATTGGGTTTAGAAAAAATGGGTTTTGTTGTTTGATTACACAGGAATGGTGATGGTAGCTTATAAATAAAATGGCCAATGTATCTTTTATTTTAATTTATTTTTGGTAAATCCTTCTATTGCATTGTGTGATTTCCCCCCTTTTTAAAAGTACAGGGGTTGGTTTTTTTTTTTTTTTTTTGGGGCAGGGGGGGGGTTGCGGGGGTGGTTGAGGATTGCGAGTTTGGTCAATCCCAAACACCTGCTAAATCCTCAAATTACACATGCCAATATAGTGAAGTTGTTGCAATATATATATATATATATATATATATGTTCATTTAATTTGTGACACTGGAGAAACATCTGACCATCCTGTTTAATTAGGTTGAAAACCAACTGTAGCATTATGGATTTAGATGCCCTAGTAAGGCTAGTGCTTTAGTGTGCTCATAAAACGTGTTTACCTTAAAATACAGTGCCTCTTTATGTGCATTCGCGGACCGTTCCATTTAGAGTTGTTGAAGTTATTTTGATATCACATTGGACAAGTCAATAAATTAAGTCCTCATCAGAAATTAATTTGAAGTCTTCATTGCATTTGGAAATGCTAAGTTCAAGGTTGGTGTTTGTGTGTTTTAGTGTCCAGTTTCTTTTCTCAACACATACTGTTATTGCTGAGTGAATTTGACTTGGTTTTATTTGGTTGAATCATGACTTTTTTCTTAAATACCAGAAATGACTAAAGCATAGATTGAGACCTGCCATTTGGTTGGTTAAAGTTTGTTGCACTGTTGTAGATTTTTAAGGTGGATGTGTGGCTGTTCAGTGCTTACAATATAAGACCGACACTGAGAGACCTGTCAGTCACAATACATGTTATTTCCACCTTTTATTTTTTCTGCCTCAAATGAGTATCAGGACTTTTTTAGTTATCAGGACACATGATGTAACAAAAATAGCAAACAAAATAATGTTTATGGGAATTACTAAATTAACAAACTAGGGAATGATTGTTTCGATTTATGATTGTTTCTAGTTCACATTAGAGGGTTTACGTTGGAATGGAAGTTCTTACCTCTACTTTGTGTTTAATACCAGTCCTTGTTGCCATGTTGATTTTTCTTATTTAGTCACTCTGTTGATTCCTCAACCATGGTTGAGATGTTTTTGCTTTTGAGTGGGTGCAATAGTATGCAAGTAGAGATGGTGGAGTTTAGTTTAGTTTATAGTAAATGCAAAACTAAACCTAGCTAAACCAAACAATCCTGGAATATAAATAATTTAATTGATTGGTTCTACTCGTCTTACCTCTCCAGCTGTTGTAAACTTGGTAACTTATTTACACTCAAAAATTAAATTTCCATATTGCATATAGTAAACTAAGGCCCTGTTTGGTTTACCCATTTTCTGTTTTCATTTTCACTGAAAACAGAAAACGATGTAGAAAACATGTTTGGTAGACTAATTGTTGTTTTCATTTTCTGAAAATGTTTTCTGAAATGGGTGGAAAAGTGAAAACAACAGAAAGTTATTTTCAGCATTTTCTGTTTAAAATGAAAAGGCAGTGGCATTTATGTAATTATATGGATTTTCAGTATTTTTTTTTGTTTGTTTTAATTTTCTGCCACTGTTCACCTGCGTCTCCCTCCATCTTCGCCGGAAAAACTGTGCCTTCACTCTGTTGACCAGCGAAGCCTCTCCGAGCAAACTGAGCACAACGAACATAGCTCGACCATTGTCTTTTTTGAGCTCGTCCATTAGCTCTACAAACAAAGCACAGCGGACAAAGCCTGTCCATCAACTCTGTAATACAGAGCTCGACGATCGAGCTCTATTCTCAGATTGTCCGTTGAGCTTTGAGCTCGTCGGACCACTCATTGGTTCTTCTTGGTTTCATTTTCTTCCTCCTTGAAATTCATTGCTTAGATTTGCAATTTGGTCAGCACTTGGACTAGAATTTGTCGGATCACCATGTCACTGAAATTCACAGTTTGGATTAGCAATTGCTTTAAATTGATTGGGGGGTTTTGTAATACGGATTACATAGATTGAAACCGTGTAGAAATTTTTTGGAAAAAAGCTAGACAAGGCTGCAAATCTAATTCAGGTCGACCCGATCATGACTCGAATGAGGTTGGGGATGATACTGGAGCAATTTTCTGAAATTGCTTCTTGGTCCCTCGTCTTTTTTCAATTATTCAATATAGTATCCATACTCTTTAGGTTTTGTTTTTAAATTTCATAATTTTTAATTTATTTAATTAAACTCTCATAAAAAACCCTAAAATCCTAATTTCATTCAATTAAGTCCTTATTTTCAATTTATTGAAAATGGGTTAACCAAACATATTTTCTTAGTTTTCATTTTTTAAAAACAGAAAATGGCAAATTACACCAAACATGTTTTTTAAATTTGAAAACATTAAAATGAAAACTATTTTTCAAAAAACAGAAATACAAAATGAAAAAGGAAAACATTTTCGAAAACCAAATAGCACCTAAATTTCTGTCTTTAATATGATGCAAGTTGTTGGATATGTTAAGGTCTTGAAAGGTAACTTAGTTTATACACACCTTTTTTTAAAAAAAATATATAACTGACATACATCTCTAGTATAATTCCCCACACAGGTAATTAAACATGTGTGTAGACATGCATCTATGTACTAATATAATCTTTAATTTCTAAATAAATATAGTCCTTAATATGTCTGTTTTGTGACATGGTATGCATTCCTTTTGGTATACTATTAATTAAGTCCCTACCCTCCACTCTCCCTTAATAATATGAAGTCTTCCCTTATTGTGCATATTCTGACATAATTCCATCTTTGATCAGTTGGTCATGAATAAATGTGATCCTTTATTTATTTTTCAACTCTGAATCCATATTTTTTAAACAAAAAGTGAGGAAAGCATTTTGAAAATTAGAAGTTTAAAAGTAATTCACTACTTTACCTTTTTCTTTATAAGACAGTGTTTGCAATTGTCATCCCATGCTAACAATCCCTATGTTTTATGAATCATTTGCTTCATTGACATCAATTAGATACTATTCCTTAATTCTGTAATAAAATTTTTTGAACATGGTTCGTTGATTGATAAAGATAAGACATCAACTGGCAGGCTCTTGGCTTTGTGGTTGACTCCTCCAACATTGGTTGAGAGAGATGTCTCGGTGTGTGTGTGTGTGTGTGTGTGAGAGAGAGAGAGAGAGAGAGAGAGAGATAAGTCTTCCATAGCCTTCTCTCTTTGTAAGTGATTGTTATGGTCTGACTGTCACTCCTTCATTACAGAAAAAAAGATATAGACATCAACTTCTCTCTGTTCTGTAATAAAGATAAAAAATAATAATAAATAGGATGATTATTATCAGGGAAATATTTTACTATGAAGAAATTGGCAATAATTTATAAGACAAACTAATGATAGTCTCCTTTTTTATGCATCCTTTTATAAGCCAGCTGGACTCGTATTCCTTTGGCATTAAATTTAACACTCAAAAATTTTAGAGTTAGATTTGTTGTTTAAAAAAATAGAAATATATTAGTTAAATGAAATGTCAAAAATATAATTTGCTAAACAAACTTGAAAAAGGAGTAGGCTCAGTGCGGCAAGGATCAACTCTAGTTCCAATAGAAACAAGCCTCTGGATCATAGTTTATATACGTGTTTACTTAAACTCTAATTTTCTAGTTAGTTAATTTGATTTCACTTAGATTCAAACTCGAGACATGCTTTGTTATTTATATTACATTTTAACAGTCAAGTTTGGCAGTGATTTGTCATCTTCCTGTCATCAGAGCCAGAAATTCAAAACAATAATAACTTCTCAAATATATTTTGCAATGAAGCTTGCCAGCATCAATATTTGACAAGGATGTTACTGTTTCTCTGTTATTTGTTTAACCATCCTTATTGTGTCACAGCCTTGTTTGGCGCCAAGAAGCTTTTTTGGGGTGGAGGATTATCTTGACGATGATAATAGCCGCCCATACACTTACCAGAAGGATAAGAAGTCTAAGGATCCAAACAAGCACATATCTTTCAAACAACGAACTATAGCGTACTTGGAGCCATTCACGCTTGATGTTTTCATATCAAAGCGTTTTGTTTCAGCCTCCCTTACTCACAGGGTAACTTCAAAGCAAGTTGCGGTCGCTGGTACTAATTCCAAAGACATCAAAGCTGTTCTCAAGTCACGAGCGGACATTCCTGCCTGTTTGGCCATAGGGAGGATGTTGGCAGAGAGAGCTCGGGAAGCTGATGTGTACACAGCATCTTATACTCCGAGAGAGAGGGATAAGTTTGAAGGAAAGATAAGAGCGGTTGTTCAGTCCCTCATTGACAATGGTATCGATGTAAAGGTCTATATTGATTGAATGTTTCTGGATATGATCTTTTCGACCCTTTCACAAACTCAATGTAACATTTGATTTTATGACAGAAGTTACGTTCTGGAAGGTAAAGGTTAACACATCGTGCGGTCTTCTTTAGATCTTACGGGAAATTAATTAAGTTTTTTACAACAATTCCAGATGTAGTGCCTTTCTGGGTTTAGATATTTATATTTTTCCCTCTTCTCGAACAGATTTTTGGAATTCAGAGTAAATCATCTACCTCCTATTCTATCGACCAAAAACATAGTTTTTTTATTTTATATTTTTAAATGTGGTAGTTCCATTATTTTTATATTTAAAAGACATTAACGTCACTAATTTTTATTTGTTTGTCTAATTTATACATGGTGCATTTGCATTGCACTAAAAGCAAAAATAGATAATTATTGATCATTTTGTTAATATCTAGCGTTTTTCAAGCATGATGATGATGTCATGTGTTCCTCCACAGACTTTCATTTCTTTTTCTTATTTGAAAAAAAAAAAAAAAACCAGCAGGTAAGTCTATTTTCCTCAAGGAAGGGGAGATGGCTTGAAACCAAGGTCTCGAATTACATGACACCCGAGGCTCCTCCTACTTGAAACTTTCGATGGGCTCCATACCTGCCTGCCCTTCATATTGTTGCATGCATGATAATCAAAACCATTAAAGTCAATATTCTGGAAAAAAAAAAAAAAAAAAAGGAAAAATAGAAGACTAGCAACTATGATCGTAAACAATTGACAAGATGTTGTCACTGAAAAAAGAAGGAACACGTCTGTCTGTCCCACTATAATGACCCTAACGTGTGTCTTTGGGGGGCAATCATTATTCCCCAGTTGGTTAGTCCATCCATGTCAATTCCCAACCAAACGAACTCGTCTCAACCACCACCAACCTACTGGGCAAATGAAAACAGATTACTATAAATGGAGATTGTTTTCACTTTTCAAAAGCACTTCACCGAATGGTGGCGGAGGATATTTTCCACTAGGCTTTGCAGTGATCAGCTATTTCTCTGTTCTCTGTACCAAGCTGCTCAGAGAAGAAACTCTCAAGCTTCAGTCCGTAGGAGCCCGGCCGAATAGAATTCATATCCCCACCCCAACTTGAACAATTAACAACCCGACTCACTGAACTTTCAGCACTGGTAGCGTTTACGCACCATTTTCCGGGCACCACCCCATCCTGTGGCCGTTTAAGGACGTTCTTGTCAAGCTCCATTAGTACCGGATCATCTTCTTTGAAAGGACTTGCAAAGATTGCTTTGCTTGACGTTAAAATTTCGTCCTGAGTACCTTTGTTGTTGTCCCAAATGATGTACCTCAAATCATTATCAAGTAGCGTGGTGTTCTGGAAGTCAGGAGAGTTGCAGAGGACCGTCTGGAAGTAAAAACTTAGAGGAGATGCTACATTGCTGAAATACATGAGCAACTTCCTGGGGATGTTGTCCCATCCTCTTACACAGTATTCCACAAAGACTCTACTCAGAATCACCCATGGTGAACCTGCTTCGTCAGAACACACAAACAGCCACTTCTTCAAATTTGCATACTTCAAAAGGTATCAAATTTTGATTGGACTAGTGCTCAAGATTAAAAGCATATAACTACCATCACGTATTCCTACCTCCAAAAATCTTGAATGCATCAGGTGTAGTTCTATTCTCCCAAGCATAGAGAATTGGAGAATTCTTTTTCAAGTATAGATTGGGGTCTACAGCAATCCGATTAACCATTTGCTTCCTGCTCCAAATCATTTCCAGTCAAATTTAAACCGAAGCAAATGCACTGACTGCAAAAAAATGGGAGAAATCTACGGTTCTGTTTTTCAGTCACAGACCCATAAGTAATGAGATTTCACTCGCAGCATTTGCGAGGAAAGTCAAGTTCAATCTCAGAGCAACAACCTCCATTCACCACTCCTTAATTACAATATTAAGTTTTTTCATATTCTTTTGGAACAACTGAATATTATCTTATGGAAAAAGCCCTAGAGTTCAAAAATTAAAGTACTTAGGCAGTTAAGTTTTCTATAAACCAAATCTCTTGAGATTGTACTGCCCAACTGGCTGATCAAATCACCCAAGTAGTGATCCAAGAATCGATGCAAGATAAAGTGACCAGGGGTTTGTAATAATTCTTACTCCTTCTGGTTAATGTTGCTTCTGTAATCAATGAAGTTCAAATCCCTCGGCAGAGACTTGAAAGCATAGAGGAGATCTGCATCGAAGATGAAAATGTGTATAGTGTTGTAAACAAGGAAATGTTGATAATGTTGCAATACCAGCAAGAGGGTGTTAATTCCAACCATTTAATTGATTCTTGCTTTTCGAGCATCGATTGATGCTCTGTTTCCAGCAAATAAGGTGGATTTAGGAGCGGTCCAAATTAATATTTTACAAGTAATCTAAGAATAAGAGCAGAATAGTTTCTCCCAGGTTTCAAACTCCTCTTTCTTTCAGGCCAAATGTATATCCACAATCAAAAGCATGAAAGCAATTGAAGAGAAAATATATTTGAACGGAGGGCATGTCAAAATTTTTGAGGAAGATTAGGAGAAATTTTGGGTATAGATTGGGAAAGTTGAAGCAAATCAACATAACATGATACGGTAAACACGTTTGAGAGTAAGGGCTTTTAAGATTTGAACTTTTAAAAGCCTTACCATCCTGAGGCAGAAGTGGATAGTCAGAAGCGGTGAGCGTGATAAACCAATCCCAATCCGCACTTATCTTGAGAAGCAATGCAGCTGCGTGGAGTGTGGCAGAGAGAGCCGAAGCACCCATCCGGTTCACGGCATAAGTCCTCCCAATAACGTGGACATTCCAAAAGCCCTGAATACCCTCTCTGCTTGAACCGAAAGAGCCAACTCCCTCCTCTCATCAACCCCCGAACCAGCATCAAGTAGCAAGATATACTGGTTTCTGGGGTGGTATATGGCCCTCAACAGCCTCAACATCCTCTTGCAGTCGCCGCCAGAGCCTGAAATCAAATAGGCCAGAACTGGAGGATCTGTTGGCCCTTTTGACGGCGTCCTCATGGAAACAGGAAGCTCAAAACCTGTGGCATCGGAATATTCTGTTTGGAAAAAGAAGGGTCTTGGCATGGCTCCCAATACAAGTATTATAATTGCAGAACCACCCAGAATAAGCAAGATACAGTAGCTCCATGGATAGAGTCTCCACATCTTCGCTCTAAGGGTTTGATTATTTCTGAGTTAGATCAGTTGACTTGAAATGAAACTTGATGGGTGGGGAAGATAAAACTGGTGAAAAAATGGCGGAAAGTGAGGAATGAAAAGAAAGGAGAGGTTGGCAGCACTTGTTAGTTGATAATTAGGACGGCAAAGCAACCAAACAAAGTCGATCAATGCCTGGTAAATCTTCAGATGGAAGCATACAACAGCACATGTTTGATTTTTCTTTTCGAATAGAGTTCGTTCAGCACAAGGAAGGCGGAAAAGTTGTCATTCCCTCAGTCACACGAGAAAGTCTCCTGAACAACACGGAGACAGAATGACAATTGCCCGTCTCCCATTGCTGCTATTAGAATACGATAATGCGTGATTGTTTTTTCTTTTCTTTCACTCTCTTTCTCTCTCTCAATTCTAAATGAACACGTGTCAAGTCTTTTCACTTCTTTAATTTCCTTACATTTATTTCTGTGAAATGGATGCTTTATTTGACGTTGATATGAATTGATGCTCAATGTAAGTTAATCTTTATGTTATTTTTTTTTTTCATTCCTCCTCCTAAATTAAATAAAAAGTTAATTTACGAAAAACTGAGTTGAGAAAATATAAATTTTAAAAAAAACAATTTGTTATCCGATGATATAAGATTGTAAAATTAGATTACAAATATAATTCTTTATTTTTTTAATCCAAAAACGGTTTTGACTAAAATACCCGACGCACATAGTCAAGATTGAAAAGTAAGGTTTGAATAGCTCAAACTTCCGCAGCCCTTATTTTAAAAATAAGGTCTATTATCATAATCCGTTTTTCAAATTTTATCTATTCCTTCTTTTATACTAAATAAATGATGTAAAAACTAATAATTAAAACTCATTTGAGAGTAAATGATGTTGAAAAAATGAGTTTAAATAAAGTATATTTGAAAAAAGTGACTTTAGATAAAACAAATCTAACTATTTGATTAAATCATATTTTTGAAAATATATAATAAATAATAAATGTCTAATTTATTTATTCCATTAGAATATTATTTACAGTAAAAAATAAAAATATAATTATCACGTTGGATGAGGGTTTAATTAAACCCCCTACGAGGTGTATAAATATATTCCCGACTATCACTAAATCTCATTTGCCAGCAGCAGCAGGCTAAGGAGCCGACACTAAAATTTCGTTTGAAAGCCACTTCAGATAAATTAAGCTTGCAAAAAGTGAGTTTACATAAATTTGATTATTTAATTTTATTTCATCAATCAAAGTGGAAAAGTAATAATACATATCTAATTTATTTAAAAAAATTAGCCCATCAAGATAATTTTATTGTTATTTACATTTAAAAAACTGGATAAAAATTTTAATTATCAAAAAGGCAGCCAATTGGACGATAAAACATGCCATGGCTAGCTAGCAAGGTAGCAGGCGACTAAAGACAGAGAGAGAGAGAAGAGAGCAGTGGTGTAGCATGAAATCACAAATGATGAGACGAAATCACGAAAGGCCAATTTGTCAATCTGTCAGCGGTCTGCAGATCGATTTTTTGATGGTCACTCGTAAAGTTGGGACGAAAGCGTGGACGGCTAATTCCAAGGGCTTTACAAATCGCAAAGGCTAATTATAAATGGTTGATTTGTCGCCTCTCCAGATCTACATATCGTGTTAAAAAGAGAAGATGTATAAACAAAAAAGGAGGTGAAGACCAAAAAAGAGATAGAGTCGGATCAAATTGAGAAGGTGAAGTGGAGGTCTCAAAGGCATATATGTACAATCAGGAATGACAGGGAGGAAGCCAAAGGAAAGGTTTGAAAAGGTACAAACAGAGAAGGAGGTGAAGACTAAATGAGAGACAAAGAGGAAGGGAGTCCTCGCCAGATTTGTAGGAAGCCTTTACCAGATTTATAAATAATGACAACTCTAACAGACACCAATGATTATGTCAGAAGAGAAAAAAAGAAAAAAATATAGATAATATAATTGTAATTTTATATCCTATAAAAGATTTGTAATTTTATTACACTTCTCTCTCCAAATCTTTAATCTAGTTCTTTTAAATAAGTGAATAAATATTGATAAAAAGGACTTTTTATATTTTATCTTATCTTCTTATTACCAAACTAAACATTAAATAAAATAAAATATTTTTATCTCAACCTATCTTATTTTTAACAAAAAGATACATTAAAAGTACTCTGTGAGTTGTTTAAACCCCTCAAGTGAGAGAAAGAGAGAGAGAGAGAGAGAGAGAGTGAATTGCCCTGTTGCCAAAATCCAAACACGAAATAGGGTCTTAGTCTTTTTGTAAATGCAAAAATCAAAACATGACCTTATTTCAGCAGTGGGCCGAAATATTGAAGGCTGGGAATGGCTTGCTCCATCTACCATAGAACTAAAAATAGCGGGGCCCTGTGTCCTTGTACGACCCAGTCAACCACGAGGAATTGGCTTGGCTCCCGAACCCCCAACCCCCACCCCCATCCAACCCCACCCCACCCCCTCCTCCCCCCGGCGCCCGCCCCCAAAAAAAAAAAAAAAAAAAAACCAAACAAACGTACTGCAAGTTTCAGAATCTCCGCCCTTCTATTTTGGGTCACCCACAAAAAAAAAAAAAAAAAAAAATTACAAAATCCGACCACGTGAAAAGCCTTCTTCCTTTTTGTGCCCCAAAAAAAAAAGGGAAAAACGTGAAAAACCTTTACTCTTTCTGTTAAGCTCACTTTTTTCAGCATCCCAATAACCCTTTCGCTCTCGCTGGCTGGCTGTTACGATTTTTAAAGTACAAGCCTTCGATTCGCAGGACTTCGGTTGCGACTAGATCCTCGGTCCCATAGGGTCTTGAATCGTGATCCCTGCCTCTTTCGTCTGTTCGTTGTGTTCTCCCCGCGTTCACATGGATGCTCTTTCAAGCTCCGTTTTCGTCTCCAAGTTCGTGGAGACGGTCCCTGTTATTCCCCACCCTCTCCTTTCCATCAGAACATCAAACACATGCGTTGGGTCTCTGAAAGTTCAGGACTTATTTTCTGATAAGACGCCGCGGCCGTTTGGGCGTCGTGTTCTCGCGCTTGCTCGGGAAGTCTCGAATGAAGGCGAAGGAGGAGATAATCAGTTGGAGAATAATGGGAGTGCTCCTTTCTCTCAGGTCAGTTAATGGTTGGATTTCATGCCGCAATCTTCGGTTCTTCGCTTATGTCCAACATGCTTTTCTCGTTCTGTATAAATTGCGGATTCCTTTACACAGTTGTGTTGGCTTTCCGAAGGAAATAGGATGCAGTTATATATTACATTAGCTGCTAATGTTATTTTTTTGTGTAAATTTTATTCCAAAATATGTCCGCCTGGCGCAAATGGCTATGCAATTCCCCATCTGGATCAGGAGGAGAAAAAGAGGCTCTTGGCATCTATTTTCTCAACACGTTTATTTATTTAATTTTTTTTTTCTGCTTTGTCTCCTTACATCCAGCTGGCTCACATTTAAATCCGCTTAAGTAAGACAGAAGAGCTAATTGAATCTTGCTTTTCATCGTTTTCTTCTTGTTTGCTGAACTAACGGAATGCGGCTCATAGGCGCATAATAAGTTTATTTGTTTGCTTGGTTTTTTTTGTATTTAATTATATGTTGTATCTGTTTCTAGTTTTATTCTCTTCCAAGCAACAGAAAGGTTAAAATGATCTCGTTGCTTTATCTACTTTGGAGAATCACAATTGCAACTTTTTCCCGGCGGGCATGCCGACCAAGAAGAAAAAAGAAGTTACATGCGAATTTCTTGATGTTTTCTAACTTGACGCTCATGATCAAGAATATAACCGCCGATACATGACTTAAATATTAATATTACGCCAGTATACATTCTTATGCACTTTTATCACCTTCTTGGAAGTTTCTTCTTTAAGAGAAATGTAATTTCTTCATTGTAAAATACGTTATGTGAATGGATAAATGAAAAGGTTCTTTCAGCTTATATTTGTGATATTTTCTTTCAAATTTTGAAGGATGATTCAGATTACCATGAGAACACTGAAAAGGGTGCAAATGAAACATCAAAGATGGACACGCCATTTAGTTTCACATATGGAAGTGGAGCAGGGGGAGGCACAAGGGCTGGGCTTTTCAGAACTCCAATATCTGGTGGGGTGCAGAGTGCAACATCGGCTCATGGTTTACCTCGACCTGCCCTAGCTGTGCGCAATCTGATGGAGCAGGTAAAGGGGCTGTTTTTGTTTGCTGTATCCTGTATGTAGGATGGGGAAACATTTTGCAGATTATTATGGTGCTGTAATAGGCTTGGACACCTGATTGGTCAATCAACTATTTTTTGCTTTTGCCAGCGTACTATTAATCACTGTCATCCTGTTTCTTTCAGTTGGTTTTTAGTTCTTATTTTTTAGATCCACTGGGGCTAAACTGAGTACAAATTCTATGGATGCATGCTATTGTGTCTATCTTCAGTTCACAAATTGGACCTTGTCCAGGACACTAAGTGCCCTTGCATGCTTAATAGGCATCATGATTTAAATATTTTCCCTTTCAGAAATTTCTAGGTGGGGTTGGTGGTAGCCAAAGTTATGAATCTTTTCACAAGGTAATATATGGCTGACTATTCAACAAAATGGCGCCTCTTTTCTCAGCAACGTACCTTTGAGGACCACTTTAATGTTGTGGTCTGTCCTACTACAGAATTGGCATTTAAGTGTGCTGGAGGAACTTCCAGTTATGCTGTTGACTGTCTCTACTAAAATTTTGTTTTTCCCCCCGCAGTGTGCTTTATATATTGCATAACATTGTTCCTTAATTTTTCATTTTCTATTGCAAGGCTAGGTTTGCCCATTTGTGTACAACAATGTCTCAGATGCACCATCGAAGAGGGGGATACCCCTTTGGTTCGCTAATAGATTTTGCTCCTGATTCAGTGGGACGTAAGTTATTTTGTTATTTGTTAATTTATTAATCTTTAGAAAATCTAATGTTAATATTGGATTCTATTTAAGGTCACTTATGTAGCCATTTTGAAAAATATGCTCTGAGGACAATTCTTTTTTTTTTTAGAGGATTGAATAATCCTGTAGTATGGCTTGGGGATTTGCTTATCCTCTTTTTCTATTTATTGGTACTGGTAGAGGGGGATTGGGTTATAATTTGGCTTTGCTGAATGTTATCCAACTTGGCTGTTATGTAAAGTTCTTAACCTTCATTCAGGTTCATGTTAATGTAACTTCGTGCCTGAACTTAAATAAAGTTCAACACTGTCAATAATTATTGAAGTATGACTTCTTATTTCAACACCAGATTATAAAGTGGTTGCCCCTCTTTGAAAAGAGGAAGAGCAAAGTGAAATCTTTTGCCATAAGTGAAATGAAAGTCATCCGAAAGTTGCCCCTTTTCATGTAACTGTTAAGCCATAGATCTGAAAATTAGGACTAATGTGTCTGAATATCAAAAAGAAATCATTTACAGCAGTGTCAAAACTCATGAGCTATGATGACTCAACCAAGCTGGCCCTGTACTTGGCTACCCTATTTGTTGACCTAAAAATACTGTTTGAACTGAGGTCAATTTTCTTGTAAGCTTAAGTTAAAGTTGATGAGCTTAGCTTGTTTTACACATTTAGATTTGTGTTTGCTTCCTCACCTTTTTGGTATATTAAAAGCAACTTATGAGTGGATGCTATGCCTGCGAAGAGGAACTCACTTTACTTGTTATGTCTCTATTTGGTGAAACTAATTTGGTATTTTGCTTCCAGATCCCATATTTTCATTTTCACCGCTGGCCATACACACCCGAAACTTGCTAGCTGACCCAAGATGCACACTCGTTGTGCAGGTTAGTGCTGTTATTGTTACTCACCTCAGCAATATCTGTGCATTAGTTCTCCATTTTATGGATGACATGGACTATTGGGATTCATAGATACCTGGATGGAGTGGCTTATCAAATGCAAGGGCAACAATATTCGGTGATGTCTTCCCTCTTCCAGAACAGCAACAGGTGTCTTCTTGACTCAAATGTTCATTTAAAATTTTCGTTTGTGGTTTTTAGTTATGTACACACTCTCAAATCTCACTTATCTTCTTTAGCTATGCAAGTTGCTGGATGAGTATGTGATAGTGTTGCTTAAAGGTTTTGTTTAACAACTCCTTTAAGTTTCCTAAATGGAGGGAAATGGTTGAAGAGATGGAACGAAGGGCCCTGAAAAATAACCTTATTGACATGTAATTTCTAAGATTGTTTGTTCATAGATCTTTCCCTCTGTCTGCCTAAGGAGTGGAATGCTGATTGAATGCCTGTCTTCATTGAATTTTCTTTTGTTTGTTAATTTCAAATATAGCTTTTTCATGGGATCTCATTAATCATTGGGCTGCTTCCTGTCTTGTGTTCATTGGATATGGAAAGACAAAAAATTTGAGCATAGATGTGCTGCATGTGTATAATTTCCAATTTTGTTGCTATTAGTTAGTGATGTTATTGGCTCATTATTATTAGTTGGTCTTATTGTGCTTTTGCCAGGAATGGGCCCATAAGCAGTATATAGCCAAGCATCAACAAGGACCCTCTCAACAATGGGGTAACTCCTGCTACTTTAGGATGCAGAACATAAGGTATGTTTCCTAGAATTGGACTGTGATCACATATTGCAGTGATGCAGATATTTTTTTATTTGATGAAAAGCCAGTAGTTTACATTGTTAACTGAGTTAATACTTGCAATATTTATTCTTGTGACTGCTGAAAACCCATGAGTTATTTAGGCCATTAACCAAATTTTACTCATTAACAGTCATGAATTAGAGTCCCTTTAGATGGCTCTTGATGGGCACTCAGTTGTTTTGTTTGTTTCTATTTGGTGCCATCAGTGACATATATTTCATTGGAGGCTTTGGCACTGTTGCTTGGGTTGATGTGAAGGAATATGAAACTCTTCAACCTGACAAGATTGCGGTGGATGGTGGTGAGCAGAATTTGAAGGTGCGCTTCTTGGATTTTAACAAGTGAAACATAAATACCTAGAGCATGTCATCTTAGGACTAGGGTTTCCTTTGGCTTAGGCACTTAAACATTGTCAGCAGTTCAAAGAAAATAATACAGACCGTGAAAGGAGCTTAACAATTTAGCTCATTTTAGATTTTGGAACTTTGCTATGTGTAGGAGCTTAATGCAATCTTTTCAAAGCCCCTAAAAGAGCTTCTGTCAGCTGAAAGTGAAGTAGATGATGCTGCTCTTATATCAATAGACAGCAAAGGAACTGATGTTCGAGTTCGGCAGGGTGCACAAGTAATCTCTCTTTAACACTTTGAATAAGTATTTGCAAAAAATTTTAGATATTGATCTTTTGCTAGTGTCTTATGTCTTTTTATTGTTAATTGTTGGTGTCGCTTGTAGTTTAACATTCAAAGGTTATCATTTGAGGAGGGGCACGCAGTAGAAACCCTGGAGCAAGCCAAGGCTGCACTTTGGACACTAATAGACAAAGATCGAGTTTACAATTTGCAACACTAGGGGTTGTACCACCCAATAGTTCCACCCCTACCGGTGTTCTCAATTTTGGAAACATCAAGACTAATAAGGTCTTGCTTGAGTTGAGGTTGTTTCTTTTTATCCTCAATAAATGTGGTCTTAAACTTAATGTACATGTAGGAGTGGTGGAAATATTTCTAACAAGTGTTTCTCTATAATTTTCAGTGTTGGCTTTTACAAACTGTTACCTTTTTTTTGTCATCTCTTGATTCATTTTGTTTATTTTAAACTTAGTAGAATATTAGGTCATTTGCATCATAAATTACTACTAACGCATTTGTAAAGTGGGATTCATTTATATCTTTGGCTATGTTGTGTAACTGATATGACGGTACTTCTCTCCATGTGTATATGGGATTTAGCAATGGTTACATAAACCAACAAGGAAAAAAGTTTTTCTTTCCTTTTTCTTTTCTTTTGGGGTTTCCAGATGAGTACGGGGAGAAGAGGAAACGGAGGGGGAATGGGTTGATCGTTGATGGGGTTGGGAGACTTTGGAATTTAATTGGGTTCAAGTTCCCTTTTTTTTTTTTTTGGTAGCATAAGGAACCAAAGCCCAAAATGGAAAAGAAACTAACCAGGGGGAGGGGCTCCTGACTTATCTAGACAGGAGGATTCTCAAATCCAATGGGGAAAAGCTTATTCAATCAAACCTGGTTAGATATAAGACTAGATTTAGTCGTAAAGTCGGTGTAAGAATTGAGACCTCTTTTAATGTGGGAAATCTCCACTTGCCAGGCAGATCGGAGAGGACTTTGAATTCTTTTAACAAAAGGTCTGACCATAAAGTTGTATAATCACTCACCTATGATAATGTCCACCATCTCATTGGAATCTGGCTTGATAATGACTCTTAGAATACTCAAATTTCAAGCCATGTTAATTCATTCTTAGATGCCCCAAGTCTGGGCCACAAGGACAGATGAGTCATCTATAAATCTGGAAAAACCTCTTCTACAGTCACCCTCTCACTCTCTCAACAAACCACCACAACTTGACTTCTTAGAAGAAGAACTAACAATCCTATCTGTATTTACCTTAACCGAATTAACTCTTAATTAACATCAGCTCTTTTGTCCAGACAGATCCTCACTCCTACTAACCCTAGGGACATATCAGATGCTGGGAGCCAGACTAACAAGTAGCTAGCAATTAATAGTCCTCCCAGCCTCCATGGGTTGCTGAAAGTTCTCCCCAAAGATATTGTTATTCCTTCAACTCCATAAAAGTTAGGTGGTGATCGCCCATTTGTTTGTCCCCTCATTCGCAGTAAAGGCCTCACAGGTTCCCTGAATATTGCTAAACATCCGTTCTTCAAAATCGAGCACAAAAAAGGTGGCTCTTCACACAGAAGGAATCAATCACCATTAAACCTCTACTGCCACAGGGCAGTCGCTCAGGGCATGGATAATGGTCTCTGTTGCATGGCCATACTCCTTACATCTTGAGTGACAAGTGCTCCAGTGTGCCCGTCTGTCATTTGTATTAAGTTTTTCATGTAAAGCCAACCAAAGAAATGCACAAACCTTTTCAGGAACTAGCATCTTCCAAATGTTGGATCAAATACCACTGTTTCTAGTTGGATAAAATGCCACTCTCCCACTGATCAATCATATCGACAACCCTAATATCCTCGTACATATGGCTCAAGTCCAGTCTGAAATCCCTCAGTCTCAAACCATTACACGTCCAATAATCCGACTAGAATTTGACCATTTTCCCATCCCTTAAGCTTCAAAGCTCGAATCTCGAAAGAGAGTGCCATCCCCAAACAATGTCCCTCCACATTTTTGAGTCCAACTGCTTGACAGAAATTGGGAACACCTAGTTGCAATTCCCATCATACTTTTCTATGATAACCTCAATCCAAGGGGCCATATCACCTTTCTTAATCTTCCAACCCACCTGCATGATGTACGCCTCATTTGGACTCTAAAGACATTTCAGTCTCCAGCCACCAAGATTAGGTGTACACTAGGTCTTCCAAGCCACGGGATGAATCTTTCTGATATTTTCCTCATGCCCCTAAACAAAACATCTTTGGGCCTTCTCGAGTTCCCTAATCGTGGCCTTAGGAAGATGATCCATGATCATAGTATAAATGGGAATGGAGCCAAGTACTGATTTGGCTAGTATAACTCTACCGGTGAAAGAAATATTATTAACTTTCCTACCTACAAGTCTCCTCTTAACTTTATTGACTGCATAACTGAAAGCCCTCTTTCCAGCTCTTCCATGCAAGATTAGGATCCCTAGGTACAAACCTAAGTTGCTGGACTTTAAGAAACCAAAAAGCTCCACAATTTGCTTGCGGGTATCCCTACTTAAATTATTGGAAAAGTAAATATTAGACTTTGCTTTGTTTATCCTTTGACCAGAGGCTCTACAGAAAGTATCAAAGCAATGTATCACACCTGATCTAGTCCACATCTGTTTGCCCAAAGAGTAAGAGATCATCAGCAAATATCAAATGAGATCCTGGCCTCCCGCTTACCAACGAGTGAGGTGGGTTAGCTTTTCCATGCAAAGAACGAAAACGTAGGGAGATAGGGGATCCCTTGAGACCACGGCTAGGCCTGAAGGGATCTGTACAGTACCCATTCCACAATATAATCATAGCCATGGAAAGAGATACATCATAATCACTGCAGTGAGCCTCTTGCAAAGCCTGATTTTAGTCGGCACAAGTTTGATGAAAGACCACTTCATCTTATCATAAGCCTTTTCGAGATCAATTTAAAATGCAAAGAAACCCTTATATCCCCTCATTTTAGCAATAGAATGGAAGAGCTCCTTAGCAATTATGATGCTATCTTGAATATGTCTTCCTCAAACGAAACTAGTCTGAAAAGGAGAGATTAGCTTGGGCTTTCAGCAACACTTCAGTAATACCCTTGTACACAACATTGCACAGTGAAATTGGCCTAAATTGAGATAGCTACTCAGGCTTCTCCATCTGAGGAATAAGGATCGAGAACGTGTTATTAACTTGGTTGATATGCTCTCCGTTTTTGAAAACCCTTTTAACAAAATCTGTAACCTGGTTCTTAACTGTGGCCATGAAAGTTGAAAGAAAGAGGGTGGAAATCCATTTGGTCCCAGGGCTTTGAGTGGCCTCGTATTGAAGAAAGCTTGTCTGTCTTCCTCTACAGTGATACATCTAGAAAAAAGAGTAGAATCATCTTGGCAAACAGGGAAAACGAAGGAGGAAGGGAAAATATACCATGAGCCTATTCCTCCTCGAAGAAAAGATCTCTATAAGAGCCAATAGCCATGGACTGGAGCTCCTCAAAATCCTCTACCCACTGACCATCGCTTCCCTTAAGCATAAGAATCCTATTTCTCTGTCTCATGCCAATGGTCTTGGGTGGTAGCATCTGGTGTTTCTGTCCCTCTCATTAATACATTTAGCCCTTGACTTTTGGTGCCAAAGAACTTCTTGACTGAGGGTTTGACTTAGCACTGCATTTAACCGTTTCTCAAAATCCTCCTAAAAAGGGATACTGCTCCTACGCTCATTAGATTTCCTTTGAATTCCAGCCAACCTAGCCAGAATTTCCCGCTCTCTCTTGGATATGGCTGAAAACTTCAGTATTCCAATTTTTCAGATTATTGGCTACCTCCTGAATGTTCTCCACTAGGCTGTGGGAGCCCTTCCAAGATCTACGAATGCAATCCCTAAAGTCCTCATGCAAAGTTCAAGTTTGTTCAAATCTAAAAGACTTGGCCGGCTGATGAGGGCGAAGCCTGTTCAAACAGGGTCCAAGTTCTGTTCTGATGATAAAATTGAAGGCATAGTGTATTGTCTTGTGGAGGGCATATACTTGGGCTGGGCCTGGGTGGTCCCGAAATTCGTTTTATGTATTGCCAGTGGAAAAGGGACAAAAGCGATTTCTTAAATGAATTGCTTAGAGAAGCAAAATGGGTATCTTCAAAAGATTGGATAGGGAAAGAGGCATTGTCAAGGCTCATGAAGGTGATACTGGCGTGGAATTATCCTATGCTTAGTCAAACTGTGAAAGGATAATAACAATAATAATAGTTTCTACTTACTATTGCTGATGTTGCGGACTAAAACAGAATCTCTCGATCTCTCTCGAGCCTTGACATTGACAGTGTATAATGTCCACATGCAGTTGCTGTAGACTGTACTTACCTGTGTCACCAGTAAGTTCATTTATTTACTGATTGAGGGGCTTCAATGTGGATATGACGGAATAAATTAAGAATGACTAAGCACAGGTATAATTTCTCTTTACGCATCCATGCGCGTTCCATTTGTCTATTCATTGCCGTGGAGGCTGCTAGAATGAAGATAAACGATTAGTGGGTTAGTCATCAACGGAACATGGATTGAAGAAGAGCTTTTCCGTTTTGTCAATTCTTCAATTTGTTAGAGGAAAGTCATCTGTGTCTTAGAAACCAATGGCCTCTCTTCATCTTCATCTTAATTTGCCTATTTGATTTCCCAATCACTATTCTTAACCCGACAATCGCTCTCCCTGACTTGAACTCGAAACCATCAGTAATTTTATCGTCACTTTTTCCTGTTTTCCCTTTTCCTTTGGGGCCGGGGAGGGTTAGATTGGCACTGAAAGCACGGGCTTTTCTTGCAAATTTTGATAAAAAGATACTTTTTACAGTTGCTGACTCCCAGCTCTCGCCGTAACGATCTCAGGAAGGTGAGAGAAAAAGCATACGATCATTTCAGTTTGCAAAAAATTGTTTGTTTGCAGTTTCTGCCAAAGGGTACAGAAGGGACTAGGGAGAGAGAAACTGAGAAGTGGACAAAACAATTTATTAACCAACTATTTCAACCATTTTTTTGGGCAAGGGAGAAAAATAACAAATCAGAAATTGTGAAGAAGGAAATGGGGAGGAAAAAGGAAAAGGGTGCTCTACCCTCGGTTCCAGAGACGGACGCAGAAATTTCAACTTCCTCACCCCTCAACTCCACCAACAAACCAGACACGGTCAGAATCACTATTTCCGATTCCATGGCAGACAGAAGCGGCAGTGGATCCTATTCCGTCCCACCCATCACCAACATAGCGCAAGACCACCTCTTTTCCATCCTGCTCCGCCTACCAATCGACTCAATCCTTTCGTTCGCCATGACTTGCAAGCGATTCAGGTCTATCACTTGCTCCGATGCCCTATGGGAATCAATCTGCAGGAGGGATTGGGGTCATACCCCCGTTGATGCCATCAAATCTGCTGCTGCTGATTCAAGCCGCCGCCATCGTCTTCCCTGGATGGAGCTCTATCGCCAGGTCTATCAACTGGACTCTGTCTCTTGCCTCAGACTCTCCGACCCAGATGCTGATAAAGTGTTCCCAAGGCCCAGAGCTTCCCATTCCCTCAATTTTGTCTCTGGGTGCCTCGTTTTGTTTGGTGGGGGTTTTGAGGGAGGTAAGGTCCTTTTACTGCTCTTTCTTTATACAAATATTTACTCATAATTTTTCTTTAAATAGTGGTAAACTGCTTTTTGTCAAGTCTGTTTTCACACATCTGAACTTGGGTACAAGCTACTTATGGTATGTCGTTTTTAACTCGTTAAGTACATAGTCTCAGCTGGACTGAAAATTATTGAATATATGATCAGGGTTCTAAGTGCTGTTTAGTTGTTTTTATATGCCCTGTTTTATCAATTGCTGTTGTGTGTTCTTACCTGATCAGGAATTTAGGACTAACATCAGATCAGAAAGGTAATATTGCTACCCTTAGAGCTCAAGACATTAGTGCTGCATCTCAATGTCAATTTTTATGTGCAACTGCAAAGGGGATTTGAAGTGCTTGAGTTTCTAGGCAACTGTGTGTTTCAAACTCAAGAAGTTGAGTGAAAAGTATCCTGTCTACTCAATATGTTTACATAATTTCTCAATCTCCTAAGCTTCTCTTGTTGAGATGTTTGATTTGTGTATATGTTCATCCTTGTCTCTGTACTTGCGGTTCATCAAATTTGTCACCTGAACCTTTTTGATTATCTGTTCACTAAGCAGCATTTAAGGCTATACTCAAAAGCATTATTTGGAAAACTCTTGCTTGTCCGCTGTGGTCATTGATCTGTAAGTTGTAAGATGAAGTATCTTGTTTTATAGCAATTGTTTGGAATCTTAAAGTTTGTAACTGGTTTTGGGATGTAACAGTTTCCATTCCTTCATTTTAGGGCGTCATCTTGATGACACATGGGTGGCATATATTGGTGACAACTTCAAGAAGACACTGAATTGGCAGAAAATTAATTCTGGTATTCCAAGTGGACGCTTTGGGCATTCTTGTGTTGTTATGGGTGATTTTATTGTTTCTATTTGGAGGGATCAATGACCATGGTATCCGCCAAAATGATACATGGATAGGTCAACTTGTGTTTAGTGAGACATTTGGCATTACATTTTCTTGGAGGCTACTTGATGTTGGTTCCACTGTACCTCCGTCACGTGGTGCCCATGCTGGATGCTGCTTCGATGGCAGAAGGATGCTCATCCATGGAGGCATCGGATTATCTGGCCTTAGACTTGGAGATACATGGGTCTTGGATATCTCTGAAAATTTTTGTCTTGGGGCCTGGCATGAGGTTGAAACTCATCCATCACCTTCAGCTCGCTCAGGACACACCTTGACTTACATTGGGGGAAATCAAACAATTTTGTTTGGAGGGAGAGGATTGGGATATGAGGTGCTTAATGATGTCTGGCTCTTTGATTCCTCCGAGGGTCACTTCAGATGGCTTCAATTACTATTTGAATTACAGAACATACCTGAAGGTTTACCCCTCCCACGCGTTGGCCACTCAGCTACGCTTATATTGGGAGGTAGACTGCTGATTTATGGAGGGGAAGATTCGGACAGGCATAGGAAAGATGATTTCTGGGTGTTAGATATTAGCTCAATTCCGTTGATTAGAATGCAACCAATCACTCTAAAACGAAAGGGATCGTTGGCCAACATGTGGAGAAGACTCAAGTCCAGGGATATAAACCTAATTGCAGGTCTTTCCATCGAGCTTGCGCTGATAATTCTGGGCGATATTTGTACGTGTTTGGTGGAATGATTGATGGGGTGATCCAGCCTGCAGAGCCTGCAGGGCTGAGATTTGATGGGGAGCTTTTCCTCGTGGAACTTGTGCTGCAGCTGTAAGGGAAAAGATTGTGGAATAAAACATGAATCTCGTCCTCGTCATGCAAGCCTTGTAAATACAAGCTATGATCTAGTTTATCAAGCTGGCTGTTTCTGTGGATTGGGTTGATTAAAAATAAATGACTTGTTATGACTACCCGGTACTGAAATCACTCCAAATCCAATATTTTGCGAGGGAAAGCATTCGATGGGTTTAAAGAACAGATATGGAATCTTAAATTTTATTATCCGAAGCTTCTAGTGATTGTACAAAGGGATGATCCATGGACGCGGCCAAACAGGGAACATTTGTTTTATATGGCAATGACTCATTGCCAGACATTCGTATGTGCTGGGGGAGGGAGAATTAATAATTAGGAGTTTTTGCTAGTGTAAGTGAGGAGAATTGGTTACGGTTAAGGATGTTGCGCCTTGTGTTTTTGGTGCATCAATATGAAATCTTTCGTCAAATACAAAATGGGTTAGTCCCACTAAAAAAAAAAAAAATTACGTTAGTGTTGATGCGTACAATGTACACCACCCGATACTAGGTGCACTCCACCAGAACAGCTGATTTTGTTTTGCTCGGATCCATTCCAACTTTTAACCAAATATGTCTCCCTGATGCTTGTACAATAAAGTGTATAGAGAGAGAGAGAGCCAAATGTTTCCGGCACCCCTTGGCAAATTTTTCCGTAAATATCGTATCACTTTAGAGATATGGTCATAAACAAGTTACAGAAAATCTTCTAAGAATCATAAATCGATACTATAAAAGGTGAAAAGGAAAAAAATGCCTGGCTGTGGAGAAAGAATACTAGCATGACGAACAAACAGGAGCATTTTGATTTGGTAATGATCTAGGGCTTGCTTGGATCAAGCGAACTATTGTTTTACAAGTGCAATTTAGTTCGCCACATCTCACCAATGACTTTCCTTGGTGCTGGATCATCAGGTCCTTTGTCCCGTTGCCCTGACGTGAAGTACAACCATCCATCCCAAAGCCCCACTAGAGTCGTCTTCACACGGTAAGGAAGTTTTCCAACCACTGACCAGTTCTGCAAACATTCACAAACCAGGAGAAATATATCAAATGATCCACAAAAAGTTCCCAAGAAATGCAGTTTCAGATGAACACTATCCCTGATCATGCAGAAAAGGTTCACAACTCACAGGCAAAATACCAGGGCAATCATATTCAACCTGGAAAAATCCCCCGAGGATTTTATAGAGTTTGATAAAATTGGAGGCTCTCAAGGAAAATGATCAAGCAGTCATTTCAAACAACAGCTCAAAAATTTGAAACGAACACTACAGACAATCCAACTTAGGCTTCATTAGTACATTCACAGGAAGAAGGCCTGGTCATGAACCGTTCCAAAGTAATCAGACTACAAAACTAGTGTATTTCAACTTGGCATTAGGCCAGCTCCAAGGTTCAAAATTCAGGGACAAAATATGATATTTACGGAATGGAAATAGATACAGATTCTGACACAGCAATGTTCAGACATAGCAAACTAAAAAATAAATGAATAAATAAATACTGAATACAGGCAGGGATACAGCAAGAAGATATAGAAATATTACCAGTGTGTCTAAATTAAATTGAAACACTTCCCCAACCAGTGTCATCTTCTTGGTTACCGGATGCTTCTCTGTTGTGCCTCCAACTATAACGATAGAATTGTTAACAATTACCCAAGCAAACTCTATGTGTGAATCAGGCTTTGGCATCGGAGGCAACACTTTCCACTTCATCTCATCATCTAGCATGTAAACATCATCATATACAACCTGTAACAGTCAAAGTCATCATAAGGGATGTTAGCAAAGGCCATTATATTTTGTAGTGTACCAAATTTAGTACAAGAAAAGATAAGAATATGGTTAAGGAACAAAGTTTTGCATTTTTATCCAGAATAGCATAATAAACAACCAAACACTGAATAGCAGTAAAAGGAACAAAAAGGGCAAAAAAAAAAAAAAAAAATCATTTCGACTCCAAAGCAGCAGCACGAACTGAAGATACTGGTAAATAATCTCTCTCTCTCTCTCTCTCTCTTCTTTTTCTTTTTTTTTTTTATTTTCAAATGGAAAAGGTCAGAATTGGTGCCCCAGGAAAATAAAGATTGAAACATGAAGCATGCTCAAATAATGAATCCTTGTATATTTAGCATAGCCAATACAATGAAATCATACCAATCAAATTACCTCATTTCTGCGAGAGCACTTGAAAATTGGTGAACCAGGTTTGGCCATAAAATCGCCCTCTTGTCCACCAATAAGATACAATCGATCATCCACAACAATGCAGGCCCTGTGTTAAAGTAGAAATGTCAAATTGAACAATGTTTACATCCATTGATCCCAATGGAAAATGATTTTGAGAAAACCATGAAACAGATGTAATCAACTGAAAGAAGGGGGCAGAAATAACTTAACAGATCAGGGTTGTTGCTTGATTATGGATAATGAAAAATTAATTCTGATATAAGTACTCTAGTTTTCAGATAATTATGATGAATGCTTATTAATAACATTTCATATGTGATTAAAAAGTAATAAAGATACCAATATTACATTGAAGATCATATTTTAAAATCATGTTTGAAACCATCTATCTAGCCACCTACCCAAAATGCTATTACAAACAAATTTTCACATTTCAAAATGTGATTCTATAAGTGATTTTCATTGTGTTGCCAATTAAAAATAAATAAATAAAAGAATGACAATTACTCTTGCAGTCCATTGTTAGTATTCACAACTGTTTCTCAAACATTCCTTAATGTCTCTTAAATAGTGACAAAATCTATCTTCTTTTGCTTCTTCTCCATAGTTCTTTATCAATTTCTACGCTAGAAGTGCTCCAGAGACCACCCACAAATTCCCAAGAGTCCAAAATATCCCCCTCATCTAGTTGAGCCCTAACTGGAAGCTTTCTATTCACCGGTGCAAACCATATAATTCCACAAAAAGGTGATACTAACAATCATTCCATGTGTTTATTTCTACATCTGAATTAGCACTGTGAAAGGGAAAGTAGAGTACAAACATTTTTCGATTATTATAAGGGACAAATGCTCATTTCAACGTGTACAATGATACAAGTGAAAGCATAAAGGAATGCAAGGATAGATAAATTGCTCACTGCTCATTGGTCACTCATTCTCTACATCTTTGTAGTTTAGGTAAGTACTTGATTTCCCAAGGTATTTATTCAATTGCACCAGTGTTAGAAAAAGCAACGATTGCATTTGAAATTCTCACTTTGATTTGATCACATAGGCTGTTGTTCGACAACTAATTTATGCATTCAATTGGATGGAAATCTTACAATTTGTTGACAGTATAATCAGTTGCCACAGTAACTTAGCCAACAATTGTGTTGATAAGTTCTGCGATTAAGAAATGTAACATGGTATACATGATGGTAACATTATAGGAGGATGACAGGTAAATGAACAGGAGTTAAGATAAAAAATATAAATAAATAAATAGAACAAGGAGAAGATGAAATTTAGTTCTTTCTTTTACTACAAATATGATTTTCTGATTTAGTGAAATGAATAACAAAGGATCCTTAAAGCAAACTTATGTCATTAGCAAAAGGTTTAATTGAGTTGAGTTGATAACAAAACAGTCAACAGACCTGTGAGGTCCACCTTGGGGAATGGGTATCTCACTACGCCACTCCTTCTCTAAAACTTTGCCATCCTTCACTGCTATACTCCAATGATCTAATCCTGGTGTGTGTCGATTCTCTTTGCTGCCACCCATCACATGTAGTCTACCTTTCCAAAGTTGGGTTGCCGGAGCATACCTAAAATCATCATGATATCAGATTTTATTATATTAATAACCAAAAGCCTGACAAACAAGCCAGTTGAATATTTTATCATGTCTACAGACATGCAATTGCAAGTTCATCCATTCTGTGGACCCTTTTTTCCTAAGCTTTGACAGGATAGGATAAATAAGTTTTTTGAAACACAATAGATAAAATATGTTTCAGAGGACTTTTACAAGTTACATATGGTAAATATCTAAAAACAAGAAGAAAGAAAAACAGCTTCAAGCTGAACAACAGGAAAGAAATAAATTCTCCAAAATATATACTAGACACTTTCTTAAAGGCACAATTTAAGTTACTAAGCAGCAAAAGAGAAGATGTTGAATATTTAATAAGGCTAATTAGTGCAGATATCAAATTAAGTACATTAAAGAAAAATTACAAAAGAGGAATCAAAAAGAGCTTTTTTTTTTTTTTGGGGGGGGGGGGGGGGGGGAGTTGGGAAAGGGAGGTGATGGCATGGCATTATTAAGAATTTTGCATAAGAACCGTTTACAAGTGCACTAGTAATTTCAGACCATCGCCTTTTGTTCCTTTTTCCTCTTCACTTTAAGATTCATCAGAACACATAGATCACTCTTGTGATATTGTCACCATTTACTACTATTGAAATGGGAAAAAAAACGGCAACCACCTCAAAAAGGAATATGGTTAAAGCAATATTTAAATGCAGCAGAAGGGATATTAACATAAATATTTTTTTCTTTTTGGGTCCAAAGAAAAGATAGACACTAGGGGAATACGGAAGGAGACCTAACCTACACTCAATAAACTTGGGAATATGAAACAAGTAGAATAATATCAGAGGCATGTTTCAGGAAGATGAAAACCCAGTACCAATCTGAAATAGGAAACTACATATGAGTTCGTAATTGAAAATAAAAAAGAAAAAGCAAACACCAAACTTCAAACAAATGTAAATCACCATGAAATATATATAAATGTTACTCATATCTAGGTTATAACACATACCTAGGCACTGGTAACGGTGGCATGTCTCGCCATTGCTTGGTTTCAATGTCCAGCACAAATGTACGTGATGTGGGCCCTCTACACTGTGGACCATATTGTCCAGTAACCACATAAATATACCTCCCATCTGTTACCATTCCCAGATGAGAATGTGCCATTTCTTTTGGCATATCAAACCTTCCTCCCCATGTATTATCGGAAAAGTTGTATACATCAACATGAGAATGTACCTATACAACATAAAACAATTAGAAGGTGATGATAGCAAGATTTTAACATGGGCCATATGTCCAATCTGTTGGTATATGGCCCCAACTATTGATTAGCTTAACCAGCTGAGTAGTTCAGAATTTGAATTAGCTACTTGCATAGGCAACAAAATTGATTATCATAAGATTGTATCAGGGATTACCAAGAAGAAATGGGCACAGGCAGGATCAATGTTAAACATTTGCTGGATCAATGTTTCTATTAGGGATTACTATGAAGAAATCGGCACAAAATTGATTTTCATTCGGTAGTATTGATATCGTCACGTTTCAACTTTATAATTAAATCCCCTGTCAATGTTAAACAAGACGTAGAAGCAACCAGGATCAACCGCTCAGAAAAATAACAAGAGCTGGTCTATGTGCTTACATAGTCGATGGTTCCGTATCCAGCAAAGACAAAGAGAAGATTCTTGATCTGTATAGCTGCGCCATCTAGACGTGGCACTGGTGCCGTCGGCATCTTCTCCCATTTTAATTTCGGGCCAGGTAAGTCTGCAAATGTTGCTGACAAGACTCTCTCAGTCAGAACACCTTTTTTATCCTGAACAGTTGTTCATGTAGAGTCGTGATTATTAATTCCAAGAAGTGATGGATGAAGTGCTAAATTATACGATTACAGAGGAAACAAGCCATATTTCTTGCATCCACTCATAAAATTAATCGCGCCTTGTAATTTTCTGAACTGGTTTCCAACTTGAAATTACGTGCAACTAATTCCAGTCGATATTTGCAAGTGAAATATGCAGAGAATCGGATATGTATAAATTGAAGCAGGAAAAATTCGGTGTGTAATACCTTTGTCTGGGTGCTATTTCGAAAATGGGGTACAGTTATGTCCCCAGATTTCTGAAGATTCTTAGATAAAAGGAGATAGGAAGAAGTATAAGAGGAAGAAGACGCCCAAAGCAGATCAGCGATGAGGACAGCTCCAAGAAGCCCAACGCATGCAAACACTAACTTTGTCGACTTATGTTTCGCGACCGCGGCCCTTCCCATCTCATTGATTCCACGGAGACAGAAAATTCAAGCGTCGGATTAGACTATACCGTGGGAAGTAAAACAGAGGGCATAGGATGATTGATTGAACAATCAACCAGCAAGAAGAGAAGGAAGGAAGACTCTCGGAAACAAAGCTAATGAACTCTCCAATTTTCCATTGAAGTTGCGAATTCATACAAGGAGAACGAGAGAGACGATAATCATAACGGGAAGTGAGCAGCCCAGCCCAACAGTCTCCTCTTGCTGGCGGTGCAAGGGTAGGCCCAAATTGCAATTGCTTTAGTTTGATTACTAATTTACGACTCAAGATTCTTTTTTTTTTTTAAAAAAAAAAAAAAGATCTCCCCATGCCTTCAAGATGGTATAATTACAAATGGAGATAATTGAGAGATCCAATTTTCTTCTTAATTGTGTGAATGATCAATTCTCCTCAATTCATCATTTTAAAGCTTGCAAAAAATAAACAAACAAAGTTAATTAATTCCTTCGATTAGGACCTTATAAATTTGGTCAAACGGTCAGCTTAATGAGTCAAGGATTTCATTGATGATAAGCAAATTTAATTGGTTTGGTTTATTAGTTACGGTGAATTAGGTTTAAGCGAGAATCCCTCCCTTCCTTGGGTACCATTCGTCAAGGAAGGTTGAACTTGATGCTCCACTCTTGGGATAGGGAATGTCCAATGAACAGGAGTTGTAAAATGAGAATAACTTAATGCACCACTCTCCATAAAGAGTGATCTGAAAAGGATATGAATAATGGTTGAAGTTGATGCTCCACTATTTCAACCAGGGCTAAAATGAATTGAAATTAACATAATTTGAATTGCCAATGTATCACCTCTTCTAAACCCTCGTGTAAAAAAGAGAGGTGAAATTTTTACTGAGCTGTTAATAAGATGGTACAATGGATAACCTCAACCCTAACACCCTTGTCACAAATGATACTTTCACTTCAATTTGGGTGTTATAAATAGCACATATATAGTTATTTACACATACATGTACAACACGCCTATGTTGCAGCCTTATCGAGTATGCTTCAGATGAACCACAAAACCTGCTTAACAAGGTATAAGCATCTCCATACATAATATACATAAAATCATGTTCATAAAAATGGAAAAACAAAAAGAAAAAATTTTAAAAATGCAATCACAACACCACAAACCAAAGCAATGGGTTGTAATTTAAACAAAGTCAGTCAAACACATTAGTGTAAGTTCCCTATTTAACTAAAACCACCACTACATTCCCAACCCCTCCCATTACAAAACCTTTCAAGCTCTGTAAGAAAACCAATGAAAACAAACCCTACTAGCTATTCACAAAAAGTTTATATCCACGTACAATTAAGCCACCACATTAAGGCTATTGATTATCACCATTACAACCCACCATTCCATCTATATTAAGGGCAGAACAGACTATTTTTCAAGCAGCAATGACATAAAGGTACATTGCAATACGCATGCTATTACACTGGTATAACATCAATCTTTAATGCATCCTCACATCTCAACACAATACCCTCGAGGCTAGCAGGGAGGATACATTTGACCCATTGGCATCCTGTGGTCAACGGTTCTGGTGGGGGGACAATCATAAGCACATTATCGTTCCTCTGAACCACTCCCATCACGCTCACTGTGCTTCCCTCTTTTATGTACCTACAAAGCAAATGGCAATACCATTATCAAAAAAATAAAATAAAAAACAGTAATGCATGCAAAGCAACAACTTATCACACAAACCCAAAGACTAGTGCAAAGAGCTTCCAAAAAGGTTACATTTGTCATCCAAAACTCAACAGACTGCATGTAAAGGCCTTGGGTTACAAAGTTGCATGGAAAGTTGCCAGTAGCAATTTGTGCTTTAATATCAAAAACAATCAGAAGTATTCTATAGCAAATAACTTGCATGCTCCTTCGGAGCATCACTTTTGATTAGTTTTGTTGGACTAGAATCACTCCATAATGCAACATTGATGACAAGTGAAGAACACCCTTTTAACTAAATGGATAATTTACCCTTCTTTCAGTCGCATTACTCTATCATCACTTGAAAGATTCCTCTCTCCCAACCACCTCATGAATTCTGGAGACAAATCTTTATTCAAAGGGTTGACATCAACTACAATCGATTCCTCCACATAAGGCGTAACTCTGGCACCATAGCCAGTCTTAACCAATGCTCTCAACCCCGACTGGAAATCAGAGATGTAAAAGTCTACCACATGCCTCTGGAAGAAACAAATACAAATATTCTTGTTAAAAGAGTTTAACCTCAGCAGCATAATAAAGAACGCTAACAGAGTCTTGATGGGGATCAATGCATTAATTTAGAATTTTTATCAAAGACTTTTCATTGAAAGGAAATAAAATTAATCATATATGTTCCTTCTTTTTGTCAGCAGTTCAACCAAATCCACTTAAACCATGATCCTAACACATCATATAAAGGTAATAGAATCCAAATTAGCCATCTGCATGGATTCACACACCCATGAAAATTATAAATGAGGAAACATATCTGTTCTAATAGTCCTTATGTAGAATAAATAGGAATTTCTTGCTTATTTATCACAAATATCAGCAATTTTATTATAACTAAAGGAAGGGAGAAATAAATTAATATACATCAAGCTACCATTTATATAATTACCTCTGATGATCTAAGACCCCATGTAAAACGACGATGTGTTGGGTTGGCAGCTTTTGTATCCCACCCTCGATACTCATATAAGCTTGTAGATGTATAGACACATCTTGGGACTTTCTGAAAGGATGACTCGAGGGGCACATTTCCACATGTTACCACCTTCAAGAACAGAAACGTGAATTAAACACTTCCACGAGTTGCCAGTGAAGCATATAAGAAAAGCTAATGTATAGATCAGGCGCTATAATAAGAATAATTTATAACCCAACGAAGAGATAGCATATGATCAGCGTGGCAGTACTCGTCCATGTATTTCAGGTAACCATTCCAATTTTGAAAATAGTCTACACATGAAAAATCAGATATCAATGTGTAATATTTTCATTACAGTTGCCAAATTCAGGTCAGAAAGAGTTCAATTCTAATACTTGGACTTAGTGATTCACTTGCATGGAACTAGTCAATAAAAACTTTTAAAACATGAAATTATATGTTTATTCTTAAGCTCCTTTCTTCATAAATCTAGCCCTTCTGAATATGATTCCTGGGAAGTAAAGAACAAGAATAAGGTAAAAAAGTCTACATATATAAAAAATTTATAAAAAAACTCTATTATTAGTTCATGCACTCAAGAAAAAGTGAAAAGGAAAAAACCAATGTCCAGGCACATTGAGATAGTACATACCCCAGAGACTTTCACAAATTGCCCATTTTTTGCTGTTCGGAGCTCAGCATCTGGATAATGGGCAATGAAACCTATAATAGCCTTTCTCCCCCAGCAAGCATTCCAAGTGAATAATGCAGCAACAATAGCAAATAAAACCACAACAACAGTGAGAAGAATAGCATTGTGGACTGCACCAAGAATGAATCCACCTGCAATGAAACCCATCACAAATAGAAGAATAATTGCCCATAGGATTAGCTTAGGGATGTTCTTATTGAAAGAATAATCCTCGCATTGGCTAAGATTTGTCACAGCCTGGTTGTGTGCAAAAGAGGAACCATGAACTTTGACTGAACCCATTGAGTCCAGAGGACCAGAAACCTTCCTTGGAGCTCCAGATGAGTTTAGTGGACCAGAAGATACAGGACCAGAGGTAATGAGACCTGTTGCTGGGAGAACCGGAGCAAGAGGTCCCGAGTTTTGGCGAGTGACAGGTGTTACCCCGCCAGATTGCGGACCAGAAGACTTCTTTATGGGCTCACCATGCTTATTCAATGGTCCAGAGTTTGACTTCTTGACAGAAGATGAACTAGAAAAGCCAGCTGAAGTTACGGGACCTGATGTGGAGTAGCTGGCCCTAGCTGCAGCATTGGTGATTGGCCCAGAATGTGAGGCAGAACCAGCAAAGGATCCAGTCCTCGAAGGAGGACCGGTTATAGGACCTGATTTCCTTGATTTAGAGCCATCAGTAGGGATATCAAACATTTTCCCAAGTTCTCCTGATTTCTTGATATCACCACCTGTGTAAGGCATGGCAGTTGAGCTCATAGTTGGAGTTCTTTCTTTTGGCTGCTCTGGCCTTCCTGATACATACAGGCCATTGCTGAGCTGATGAGATGGGAATCGGAACCCATCAATGTCCTTCAAAGTGAAACAACAAGAAGAATATTCCACTTCCAGTATATTGTCAGAGGACTCAAAACCCTAGCAAAATGAAACAGTTGCAGTCAACTCAAACAGTGACTCATAACCCAAAACCTCAGAGGGAAAATTCCAAATAAACAGTAATACATCAAGAACAAGGCACCTTAACTGGTATAATTTGACAACCTTGCAGACATACTAACACACAACGAGGAGGATCAAATAAACACCAAAATTTGTGGTAGGAAGCGGCATTTACTCAATGACCCATGAGAGAAAAAAAAAAAAAAAAAGAAAAAGAAAAAAGTAGTAGTAGTAGTAGTAGTAGTTTAAAATACATATTTCAACGTCCACAACATCACAAAGCCACATGGGAATAGTTTAAAAGCATAAGCAAATACATATTTCAACGTCCACAACATCACAAAGCAGATAGTAAACTCAAGCACCTCAATGAAAAAGGAGCCTTGGGAAGCAAATACTCCCTTCTCTAACTCAAGACACCTTCCAAACTACAGAAGGAGTATTTTTCTACCAAATTTATTATTTTGGATGAGCAAAATAGTTAAGTTCAAAAATAATAATAAACATTTCCAATCATCCTAGAAGTGATCAAACAAATAAATCCAACTATGACAAACATTACACGAGTTTTTGAATGCTAATTAAAACAATGGGACATCAATTTAATATATCAAATTTTGAAGGAAATAGCTTGCGAAATCCTCGTGTGCATGTGCACGCATAATGACAAAATTTATACCGAGTAGTTATTCATAAGTCAAGTAGCATCCAGAAAGAGTGCAACTGCGGATCTTGGAAGGAAACAAAATCAAGAGCTCGTTCCCACCAAACCAAATATTAGAAAGGACGTATGCCATACAACAGATACAGAAAAAATCACAACTCAACCATACAAATTGAAAATAATGGGTAGACAAAATTGAGAGAAACAACAGCTAAGCCTTATCAGCAGGAAATTTGGAGAGAAAGAAAAATATTTGAGTATTCTGCAGAAAAATCGTGAAATTTTGTCAGATTCTGGAGAACTCGTTCCAAGTCAACCTAAAGAAACATCTCAGATTTTAAAATCCCTTTCGAAGCAACATACGGAAGCATTGAGACAGAAACATTTTTGGTCTATAAATCAGTGCAGATCAGAAACATGAGTAACCAATATAAACTCACACACAAAGAACCACAAAATATATCATATCAAGCTCCACCCGAAAAAAGAGGGAAGTAGCTGTTGACCAGTAATCCAGAATACATAAATCAGAGCCACCCGAACGCAACCCAAAACTAATTAGCAGCCAGATTTCATATACATACTATACAAAAATAGTGTTTGACGACCTCTGTGGTAACTGGTCCGGCGGTTTAGGGAAATCGACCATAACCTTAAAAGCGCTTAATCCAAACTCAGTTTAACTCTGAAAAGGCGAATCAAACAAGACAAAACATACCCATTTTACCATTTCGAGCAACGAGAACGAGAAACAATTTAAGGTAAAGAGAAATTGAAGTAACATAATGCGAACAAAAAGAGATATTTTCTCCGAAAGTACCCGAGGAGGAAGAAAAAAGAGTCGAAATCTGAGAGAGATTTGGAGGCATGATGCCTAGTACGTGTAACTGTATAAGAGTGTTGTGGGTAGCGGTCGTAAGGGGTCTCTGTTAGTTGGAAATCTGGTGTGATCCCATCGCCATCTCCCTCGCTCCTTCAGACAGCCGCTACAACTGGTGGGTTGTCTCTTGTCCGGCAATAACCTCCAAAACCCATGTACTAGTATAAAAGATTTTTTATAAATCAGAAAAACGGTAAATGTATTATTAATTAATAACAATAATTTCTACAGGAGTTGAGAAGAGAGGAGAGAGAAACAACATCCCTATCTTGATAGAGAGGGGGAAAAAAGGGAAAAGGTAAAACCCACCTTCCCCCACCCCACGCACCGCTCCCTCCTCTGTCACCCTCGTCTCGTTCTGTATTTTGGCAGTTAAATGACCGTTCTAGCCTTAATCTTTGAGAAAATTTCCGCCTGACGTCTTCGCTGACCCTCTGTAGAAGCCGGGTCTTTCTTGTGATGTGAACCTCCAGTTTTGTTAATTAACTAGAAAAATTCTTTTTTTCTTTTACTTTGAAAATTTGGGTTGATGTATATCTACTGCAAAATAAAGTGATAAAAAAAGTGTGACGAATGGCCCCTCCTCATGCAAAAGGATGCGGCAAAACCAACCCCATGATACCAATCCTAATCTTGCATCATGTTGCTGGGCCAAGCAGGACTTTGTGACTCATAATATATATATATATATATATATTTTATATTTATACTTGTAAGCAATTGTTCAACCACTCACACTCACTCTTACTCCTGGGAGTCCTTGTCCTAGACGAGATGATGAAAGCGCTAGGAAAAGGCAAAAGCAAGTTATATCAGTTCATTCATAGCATTTAGATTTGGTGTTGGGAGACATCAATCCCACTATTATCTACCGAGCGACAAAAGGATTCATGCCAACTGAGTTTACTTTTCTACTTTTCGGGGATTATTCGATAAATTCTCCTAAATTTTTTTGTTAATCAAAGTTGATTATATATGTGCTTCATAATTAAGCTCGTCTCCTAGTCAAATTAAACATACATCTTTTATAAAATAAAAAAAAAAATCACCAAGAAAATTCTTCAAACTTGGTCCCAATAATTCAAATTTTAAATAATTTTTTAGCCTTTACTTTTGTTGCTGCACCAAACAGATTCCAATATAACAAATTTGTTGGAAAACAACTAAAATGTGTTACCGTTGTAAATTGTAATACTTTCAATATCCTTTTTTTTTTGGGAAAGAAAAAATGATTTCGCGTAACCTTGCACCGTTCGTTTGTTCACTCATAAAAACAAAAAAGAATATGCATCTCATCCTCAATACATGTTGGTTTTTGAACTTGGTCGTGCATATAAATTCAGCTATAGAGCTGTTTTAAAGACATCATACTAAGGATTGAACCATTATTATTATTATTATTATTAGAGGAAAGAGCAGAAAAAATATTGTCAATCTAGCAAGGTTTCCCTCAATACTTCGAGCCATTGGTTGCAAGATTGATTATTGAATTTTTGGAGGCCAATGAAGCCAAACACTTCAGGGAATAGTCACAAAATTCAGATCATTTAGAAGTGAAATACAATTCATCATGTAACAAAAATTCATCTTCATGTACCTTCTTCGCTGGTATGTTAAAAGATAAAACAGGTGCAACGCTTCTGCACCTAAACTATTTCAATATAACAAACTCAAGAATTCAAGAAAATACTAATGATTTTTGGTCCCCCAGCAGACGGAAAGAGGGGACCCAAGGCAAGGAGAGTATGCTAGCACCACAAAAAATAATTTTCCCCACAAACATGAACTTCCCTTTCAGAGGAAACAAATACTTGTCGCCCTAGTGGGCATATTCCGTGAGAAGACAGTGACAATACTTTTCAAATCTGCTTCAGATAACATCCCAGCCAGATTAATGTCTCGGCTCTTCCTCGTGAGACTAAAAATGGGGACAAATATTTATTTAAATAGCTTAAGATGAATAAAGAACAAAAAGATAATCACATGCACCCAAACCCCCCCCCCCCCCCAAAAAAAAAAAAAAAGAAAAGAATAATAACAATAATAAAAACAAAAACCACCCCACAAATGCATTTATGACAGAAGGGCAAGATTGCCTGGAGAATTGCTAGGACAAATCAATTCAAACATGTAATGTCCCAGATTAAACTGTCAACATGACCATAAAGGTTTTGGAATCTTTTATTTTTCTCAGACACAGTCTCATATCACAGCCAGAATCCAATAGGATTCATCTGAAATTCAAAAGCAAGAAATCAACAAACATCAAAGCTATCCTCACGGAATCATCATCCAATCCAATTCTGCTAAAGCTGCAATCAAAGAACAAACAGAAACATTAAGGCAATTTCAGTAATGGCACATCGTAACTCAACTCATTGTCACCATCATGACTTTCATGCACGATTCTGTCATCAATACAGGCAGGAAATACACGCTTGATAAACGACATAGACTGACTGAGATTGATCAGGCTTGAATGGAATTATTCAATTTCATCATCAAAGAATATTAATTCTACAAATAAGCCCAGACTTACAAACAGAAATATAAAGACCAATATCAAGCATGATACGCTTGATTCAAGGTGGATGTATGCAGATATTAGTTGACTTTATCATAACAGAAGAATCTCAGATCAAGTTTGGCTGAAAGGATATTTACATACAAATTTCTCCAATTAAACCGCATGGAAGGAACTCTAAGTCATCCTACTTTTTGCATGCTCCTGGGATTTTCAAATTGGAACTCTAAGTCATCCTACTTTTGCATGCTCCTGGAATTTTCAAATTTTTGGCATCTGAAAACCCAAAGGCAAATCCTACTGGTGAGAGAAAAATTCATTATCATTCATGATTCTAATATCAGAAAATTCATTTGTTTAATAATTCATAAATCTTCATTATTCTCACAATCATAGTTGTCAATAGCGCGTAGCGCAGAGATGTGCAACCTTTGCACGTCGCTGCGCTATGCACACCAGCCAGAGCAGTAGCGCGCTACCCAGAACCGTAGTTTAAAAAAAAAAAATTAGAAAAAAACTTATCAAACCCTCGCGCGCCACTCGGAACCCCTCCTGCCAACTTTTGTTGCAGTCGTCTCCTTCCCCCCCACACACAAACAGTCCTTTCGTCTCCTTCCCCCCACACGCAAACAGTCAATCACAGAGGTTGTCTCGTCTGGTGGTCTCGTCTCGTCCATCTCCTCTGGTGGTCGTCTGCTCTAGCTTGATCATTGTCCTCGTCTGTCTCGTCTGCAACGCTTCTGCTAGTCGGCTTCCAAGACTGTCACAGGTTAGGGCTTTTCTCTGCCTTCTTTTTTTTTTTTTTTTTCCTTCTCCCATCCGCAGGTTCCAACCTCGTCCTCATC